GCTCGGCGTGGCCGCCGTGGTCTGGGACGCGGTAGGTGAAGCGTTTCCGCGCTCGGGGCCTGCCCGCGGCGCTCCCCTTTAGCACATCCTGCAGCCCGAGATGTTAAGGGAAGGGGTTTTTCCCTGTAAGACTTTCTTCTTACAGAAAGGAAAAGTTAAACTCTGCTTTACGGGTATTCCAGATAACTCACGGAACTCTCGCCCGTTTCTGTGATGTTTGTTTAATGCCTTTCAGAGCTCAGAACGGATCTTTCTGCTGGTACTTTATCTGGGGGGTAAGAACTGCTGAAACAGAGGGGTTTTGTGGTTGGCCCAAGGCTGCGGGGCAGTTGGTTGCAATACCGGCAGGAACCCAAGGGCTTCCCATCGATCACATCTCTGTCCAAACACAAATTGCACTTTTACCTCTAGTTTTAAAGAACAAGTGTAGCAATTTCAGAAAATTCCTCAAAAGAGTTGGTGCAGAGGGCTGCTGATCTTTCCCAACGTTGGTTTTGACAGACCTTTTTATGGATACTGCTCCTTATCAAGATTTCTGTAAACTACATGTTAGATACAACCAGATAGAAGTGCTACTACTTTACTTTCCTGTCTCCTTCCTGATGCATGCCAGCGTTGTGCAGAAAGCTTTTGAAATGCCTTGCAAGATACTATGAAACCTTATCCTGGACTTTTGCAATACTCTATTTATCCATCAGTTTTTTACACCCCCCCAGATTTTCCTTTCCAAATGCAACACGTTCTTCTTCCTGTTACGATTGGGGATTTGTGAAGCTGTGTAACCACACCTGAGTTTTAGCCTCTATGGTTCTTTTTTCCTATTGCCTGTATGACTCTTCCATAAAACTCATAGGAAGACCACATGTGCACACAGGCAGCAGATGAGGGCTCAATCAAGTCTTGCTGGAAACCTGAAGTTCTGACCTTTACCATAACCTTCTCTCTCAGGCTAAAGCAGAAATACTGTGTTCAGTATGAGCCCTGTGCTTAACCGCCCTTGTCTCTTGGCTTAGGCTGTTGTCCTGTGTGCTTACTTGGAGAGTGGAGGCATTGATCTCAGGGACCAGTCTGTGATTGAGCTGGGAGCTGGAACTGGATTGCTGGGAATAGTGGCCACGTTATTAGGTAAGGGCTTTTTTTGTTTGCTTGTTTAAGGCAATATATAACTGTAGTAATGCTAACACTTTTACATCTACAGGCCTGGTATAGAAGTTAGCATCAAAGCTATATAATGAACTGTGATGTTTCCTGTCAGTGTCATCTTCCTTTACTCTTTAGACTTCAGAGCCTGTTGCTTTATTTATTGTAGGAATGGTGCAACTGAGTTTATTTTATGGTGGGACCCCATTAGGGCTGATGCCTGTTACCATGGTACTCAGCTCAGCAGCATACTGGTCTGCAGCTATTTTCCCCCAGGGAGCAAGTGCTGTGCTTGCTTTGTCTTTCTATGCAGCACAGATAAAGCTACAGACAGGAACCCTTCTCTAAGCTTGCATAGACATTATTAGCCTGTCTTGCAGATAGGGAAGCTGAGGTCTGGAGAAATGAAGTGATTTGTCTGTAATCTGTCTGTGGCTCAGGTGGGGTATTATATTAAATTTGTGCTAACTGTCCCAAGTTAACTTTGTAAATCAAGTCTCTACTGCCTATGGAAGGTGCCTATTGAAATACTAAAAACAAAGCAGTTTGACAAAATACAGTCATGCCATGCAAAATCCCACAGGCATTTTTGTCTGAAAGAGGCTCTCTAGCTGCCTCTCTCCTGCTGGACAAATACAGAATGGGAGCAGGATAATCATAACAATCCCTGTAACTTAGTTGTCACCTATGGAAAAGCAGAAAGTAAATGCTCTACTTTCATGCACTGTAAGAAAGCTCCAGAAAACACTTTTTGTTCCCTACCCAACTTAATCTTCATGGGGAGTACACTTTATATGCTCAAATGACTGATGAAGGGTAGGGTGTATGTAGATAGTGGGCTTTTTGCTTGTTTTGTTCTTTTGTTTGTTTGTTTTTAGTCAAGGCAGCTCAGCGGAGTTGTTAATGTTTCATGGGAGCTAAGGAGCCTGTTTGACTCAGAGCCCGTTGTTCCAAGTGCTGTATTTATGGACATGACTGTTTGTCTGAGACATGCACTCCTGTACCACGTAGGTGCTCGCGTTACCATCACAGACCGGGCAGTAGCGCTGGAGTTCCTGGAGTCAAACGTACAAGCTAACTTACCTTCTGCACTACGTCCAAGAGCTGTGGTGAAGGAACTGACTTGGGGAAAAGACCTGGATAACTTCCCTCCAGGAGCATTTGACTTCATCCTGGGCGCAGACATCGTTTATCTGGAAGAAACCTTTGCAGACCTGCTCCAGACACTGGAGCACCTATGCTCAGAGAGAACCGTGATTCTTCTTTCCTGTCGCATCCGCTATGAAAGGGATCACAAATTCTTGAAGATGCTGGGAGGCCGTTTCTCTGTGTATGAGGTCCACTATGATTCCAGTAAGGATGTTCATATCTATAAAGCACAGAGGAGTAGTCACAAGGATGACTTTTGACTGTATGCTTTGTTAATAAAACCACTGATGCTGTTCAATCCTCTCCTTGTTTCTACTCAATACACTTGTCCCTAAGCATGTAATTGCAGTTGTGTTACTTCACTGGCTTCTTGTTCTAATGGTCTTGTTTGATTACATGTTCTGATACAGCAAGGATTGTACTTCTGCATATTGAACCTCTGCTTCATTTCTCAGTAGAGTTGTAAAGGGTTTCCCACTGACTTTTGATTAAATGTAGTTTTTGAAATTATTTTAAAGTTACAGAAAACTCCAGGGATTCCTGGAGTCATCAAAAGATTTTTGTGTAAAATCAAACCACACTTCGTTTCCATGTGAAACTTAGAAATATATTATAGTGTTGTTTTTTTTCTCTTTACCATTTCCTTAACTCTAGAAAAGTGGAATAAATATAAGCTAAGACTCCGGCTCTAAATGCTTTAACTCTTCATGTCTTCTGCATCTTAAAAGTTGTGGTAGAAGCCACTTAAAAAAGGCAAAACCAACAAAGGCAGTTTCTCTAAAGTTGTTTTGTTGCTGTCACTGCTGAATTGAACAGAGATAGGGAAACAAAGAACAAGACCTGGCTGGGGATGGGTGGGTTGAGAATCAATATTGCAGAGTAACCCAACTTAGAAATCAGTGGTGTTTTTACCTGATGTGCAAGTGTGGGGGCTATGCCTACAGTACCAAAGAAGTTATGGTTCTTAGGTTGTCCCTAACAAGGTAAGTTTCCCTTGCACAGATGAAGGCTCCCTGGAGCAGACACATGCACATGTGCCAGCATGCAAACTGAAACAAGGAGACTCAAACTGTTCTTTAAATATCAAATCAGTCCTTGACTTTCAAACTACTGCTAAATAGACACTGTTCTAAGTAACTGATTTCATACCTTGAACTTGTAAAAACATCTCTTTGTCTTTATCTCACAAAATCCTATGTGAAAAATGCTGCCACCTGGCATCAGGCTTGCACCAGTAGCAGACTTCCTTCTTTTTCTAGAGGTGGAAGAATGAAACTGGTGAAAACAATGGGCTAACAGAAGAAGGCTATGCTTCTAAATGCAGGAATTGCTATAGTATTTTTTATTTCTTTAAACTTTACTTATAAAGCCCCAGGTCAGGCTCAGGCTTTAAGCACGTGCACGTCTTTGACACTGGCAACAGCAAACACCAGCACATACTTTGGGCCACGGATGTGAGGAGCAGCATCTTACCACTTCTGCTTCCATAAAACTTCCTAACTGGAAAAGATGCTGTGATGGTCTCTGGTCAAGAAGTGATGTGCGGACTGTAATCTGGAAATAACACACTCACCATTACAGCTCCCATGAATGAGGCCCAAAAGTCTTTCACTTCATCCCTGATGTGTTTTCAGCCAAGTTCCTTGCTTGGCTCTGGACTTTGCCGAGAATTGCTGCTCCAAAACACTCGCTTACGACAGTATCCCCAGAAGCCACATGGTGTCACTAAAGCTGCACTTAACGCAGCTCGTTGGGAATTTGCAGTCTGAAACTAAGTGGAAGTCCCTTTGAGGGAAGACAGCACCTTTAATTAAAAATATAACATGGTATGAACTTTAATGTGCCCGACATGGCCCTTTCTGTCCTAACTGGGTCAGCAATGGTTGTAAAGATTATAAGCTTCTCCCACTCTCTGGCTCTGGTTTTCAGAGTGTGGCTGTAAGTTCTCATGACTCTCTTCCTCCCTGCTGGCATTTCCATCTCCTGGAGTTTGTCTGTGGTTGCTGTATGTTAGGTTCCCCTTGAGCCAAAGCTGGCAGAAAGCACCGTGTTGGTCCTTGGGCTTCTGAGTGACTTGGTCTGTGGGAAGAGCCTGCTACTGGCTGTGCTTAGCCCTCATAAGAGGCTGCAGCTTGCTATACTGAGAGCCTTAGCACCTTGCATTGTTGCTCTAGTAGGAACATACTTCAAGAACTGTTTAAAGGGTACAGAATAAAGCCCAGCATGCTTTGATGATAAAAAGTTTTGTACTTTTAAAATAAATCAGTTTAATTGCATCTCTTTGTAATTGTTTAGCAGCTTTCAGTGTCTGGTTTCCCATTGCTGTTATTACAGCTGGTAACCTTTCTGGGAGAGCAGGCATGTGCCAAAAGAGACCAGGCCTGGCTTCTTCTGCTGTGTTGCTATTGCTCTGTATGCAAACCTAAGGGAGTATGTTTGAAGGCTGAAGCAGTGCTGCTGCCTGTAAGCAAATACTTGTGGAGAAAAGGATGAGGTGACACGGGCAGCTCAGGTGAGTGCCTGGCCCCTGACCTGCAGAGCTGAGCTCTTGGGGACTCCTCCTCTACTCAGCAAGTTTCCCCCCTCAAGGGAATACCATCTCCTGACAGCTACTGGGGTGTGGGCACTCTTCAGATTCAGGAGACCAAACCCAGGCATATTGTGCTAGGCCACCACCACAAGCACATTAGTTCTGGTTTACTTTAAAGCTACCGTGTTTAGGGGCAGGTGCTAACGGTGAGAACGTAACTCGGAACTGAAACCTAGAGCCCACCAGGCCCTGAGCAGTGCCCTCCTTTGTCCCAGGGTGGGCTTTGCAGCTTTTTATGCTCCCATCACTAGTAGCTTCAGGGAGATGTCAGGAGTGAACTATGCCAGACATGCAGGACAGAAGTAGCAGAGGCATAATTGCCTGGTGAGTGAGCACATAACAGCAGCCCTCTGTGATGACACCTGCAAATTCTGGTGTCCTGACCAACTGGTCCCAGCTGAGCTTCTGCTCTAGTATGATGATGATGCATGGTAATGTTTCAGCAGGTGTTAGGCAATTACACACGCACCTGCCCAAGCACCTTCTCTCACCCTGTTCATCCCAGCACTGGAGATGTCATCGTCTCCTTTGGGTGGTTCTATTGCATCAGTTCTATTTTGTAACAGATGATGTGAAATCATCTGTATGGAGGGTGTGTTTGGGCATGGGTCCCTGAGTAGTGGGGCAATGCATAGTCTCTTGAGACATAAAATACTCACCCTAAGGAGAGGATCCCAGTCACAGGGAAGTGACCAGGCAAGATGTGAACAATGCTGTGAGATTGCGAAACCATCACTGAAACACGCCATTCTGCAAGGGAACAAACTTTTATAAAATGTCATTGCAACTAAAGTAATGTTTGATTAATGCTAAGACATAAGACATGGAGTATGAATTCACCTCTGTATCTTACAGACAAAGAGCTTCAAGGTGCATCAGTGTCAGAAGCTTCATCAGGTTTACCAGCTGACCTACTGACTGCACAGGGATCTCCGTTTCTTTTCAGTGCAATATTCAAGCCAAACTGCATTTTTATCTCATGGAGTAACCCCTATTTGGGATTCCCCCTCATTACTGAGATGCAGATTTTTCCGGAGCAAGGACGTGAAAAGCATTATTAAAAGGCTCAGTTGTGAAAACTACAAAAACTCAGCCATAATGAGCTGACCTTACTTCTTCCCCCCAGTTTCACTAGAGGTGTGCTTACCTCAGTGCTGAATTTATTCTTCTGGCTCACATCCCAGTGTTTGGATTCAGCCTTGCAGATTACACAATCGGGTTGTAATTCTTGCAACATTTGCTGCCTTCTGTTCTACACTGTTATTAACATGGTTTACTGGAATGCTTTAAGGTGGGAAAGACAGCATATTTAAACTGTGAAAGGGAAAAGTCTTTCACACATTATTAAACAACACAACTAATTGCAACCAGAATGGATACTGGAAAAAAGTATCAGAAGTGGAGGAGAAACTTTGTTTTTCAGGACTTAACCTTTCATTGATCTAGTTCAATTTATTTAACATTTTAAAAGCCCTCCCTTTGTGGAAAGTATCTCATGAATACTTACATCAGGCCACAGAGGATGAGAGAACAGCATAGTCTGCTTCAAATACGCCTTTTCCCATTTACCTATCTAGCTACTGCTCATCACTGTATTAGTGTAAATGAAACATCCTGCTCAAAAAAGAGACTTTGTAGAGTTTTTTTAAAGCATGTTTATGTGGCTGAACATAAATGTTTGTGTAAAAAGGGAGTTATGACAGTTTATACCACAAAGGTTACAGTAAGAAAAAGCACTTCTTTATGACAATAATTCACAAATTCACAAGAATCACTTTAATATACAAAGCAATTACTACCATTCTGAAACACAAAGCAGCTAATATGTACATAGTGTTAATAAAATGCATTATAACCCAGTACAATTTTTTTTTTTAAAAAAAACACAGATAAAGCACAAAAAAAAATAGGTAAAAAACCAACCAAAACAAACAACCATAAAAACCCCACAACAGGGATGTTTCTAGATTTTTGGGAAAACGTAAATAAGAATTTATTTTCCCTCAATAATGGATTTTCATTTAGTCTTTTAACTTCCACAAGTATGTGGGAGTCGAGCTCAAATACCCTGTTCTGTGCTGACATGGTTTGGATAAAGAATCAGAAATGCAGATGAGGTGAATTACATCTTTCCAGCTTACATTACAAAGGGAGAATAATATCCCTCACTCTGGAAGCTTCCCTGAAAAATGTTGTTCCAAAATAATTTCAAATAATCCAGAGTAGAAGTAACTAATTTTTGAAGTGAACAACCAGTCTGTGGTCAAGTCTGTGGAGGGGTTGGCTGCCAACTAGCACCTCTTCTTGCCCTGTTTCCCATCCCATGCCTTTAAGTCCATATAAGCAGCACAGTTTCAAATCTCATACAAACTCGAAGTTCTAGAACTTTTAAAAGTTAAATGTTTAATATAAATAAATGTCATTACACACACAAAACAATGGAGTGGCACCTGATTAAAACACAAGTTGTGGAGTGCATCCGAACATCCTTAGTTCTTAAAGAGTGGCCATTTCCAGGTAACTAACTGGCTCATGGCCTCCTTCCCTGTGCTCTCACTCAGCTAACCCCTAATTTAGAGAAACATGTAGCTGAGGCTGAGACCAAGTGAACTGACTGCTCCCAAGTCCTGAGTGCAGCAAGTGCTCAGTTTATGACTTCTGCCAGCCGTGGATCATTACAGCCTGTCCCTGTCAGCACACAGCTCCCGAGGACAGCCGACTTCTCCGGCCTTCCTGGTGAAAGCAAGACCTG